TCACTGGTCTCACCCGATCGGGCTGACCACTCTGTATTAGGGGGTCAGGACATCTGGAAAGCCCACATCTTGCCTAGAAGATCACTGAGTTTGGACTGCACATTTTCAAGACTTTTCTGGGATTATTTATTCTTGGTTATACACTGGACTATTAGTTTCCTATTTAGTGCACTTTAATGTTACTCTGTTTCATATCTTTGCATTTTATTAGTAATTTTTCTTATACTTTTGCACGTAATTGGGAATATATTATTGATATTGTTGAGTTATGTAATGCATTCACATTATTTTTAACTTGGCTATTATTTTGCACATATGTATTAGCGCAACACATATTATCTTGATTATTAGGACTTTATTAGTAAGGTTTTCTTATACTTTTGCACTTTATTGGGAAGTTATTATTGAAACCTAGAAACAAAAAAAGTGGCCGCAGAGAAAGACCAAGTGGTCCACCGAGTATGCCCCTTTTTTTTTTTTTGGGGGGGGGGGTTGTTGATAGATAATAAATTATGTAATGCATTCAGGTTATTTTTAACTTTATTTATTATTAAATTCACTTATGTATCAGCGCAACACATGTTATCTTTCTTTAATTATTTGCAAGGAATCAGTTGTGTAATTTGGTAGTTATATTATTATTATACAGGATTTATATAGTGCCAACAGTTTGCTCAGCGCTTTACAATATAACGGGAGACAATACAGCAACAATACAGTTCAATACAAGAGGGTTAGGAGGGCCCTGATCCTGGGAGCTTACAATCTAAGAGGGAGGGGCTAGTGGTACAAAAGGTAATAACTGTGGGGGATGGACTAGTAGGAGGAATAGAAGATTCCGTTATTAGGTGAAGGCGGGATAGGCTTCACTGAATGTCACATTTATTGCTTTACTTTGCAAGTGATCATGCATGCACTATTTTTAATGTGCATTTGCAGAGTGTTTGTGTCAACAAAAAACCTTAGTGCTACTTTAAAGCGGAGTTCCACCTAAAAGTGGAAACTCTGCTTGTTTACCTCCTACCCCCATCCACTGCCATATTTGGCACTTTTTTGGGGGAACGAATACCTGGTTTTGACAGGTACCTGCTCCTACTTCTGGCTCAGTTCACCGCGGTGAAGTGAGCCAGAAGTTTGCCCCACCCCCTTCCTCCAGCAGTCTTCTGGAACACTTCACAGGTCCCAAAAGACTTCCAGGCCAATCAGGCTGCGCAGTGGGTACCCGGCTGTGAAGCCGCAAGCTGTCAGTCTGGTGCCCACAGTTGAGATGCCGGGGAGAGGAGAGGGAGAGAAGGGACGGAGCGGATGAGCACATCGTTAGACCCTGGGACAGGTGAGTGTGTTTGTTAAAAGTCAGCAGCTACAGTTTTTAAAGAAAGTATGGGTTTCTTAAAAAAAAAAAAAAAAACTCACCTCGGTGGATGCAGCATCGGTCTGATACAGCATCCATCCCCCGTCAAAGACCACTGATCACTCAGTTCTCAGTCTTTAGAGAGCCAGTGACTGTCAGTGATCGACTCTCTACTCTGCCCCTCCAGTGCTCACAGGAGTGCTGGACTGTGGAGGAGGCAGGAGCAGTTGGTTCAGGCTGTCAGCGGCTCGCTAAGAGGCTGATCCAGCTGCTAGTCCAGGCGTCTGGGAGGATCCCAACTGTAAAGTCAGGATCGAACCAGAGTCTGGACCGGCTGTGTGTCAGCTGACAGCGAGCATTAGGACTTCAGCCCATTGTGAGCTGAAAACAAGTCAGAAGAGCACAGAATGAAGTACGCACCAGTAGAGCAGTACACAGCAACCAACAAACAGGCGACTACAATACCCAGAATGTTGGTTCAAATTACACGCATGCGTGGTGACGTCACAAGTTCCAGTTACGCTCTACATGTTTCATCAGATATGACGTCATCAGGAGCACCAAAAAAAGGTTTTGGTGCTGGTGGAAGCTCGCTAAAGCTGTAGTTTTGATAGTAGAGTTGGAAATGTTTTCATTTGTGTGGAGACAAAGACAACCTCATCAAGAGACTTTCTTCACTCAAAACTTCACTCAAATTCAAAGCTAGAAGTAAAAAATTTTGGCTGGAGATCAACTTTAAGGTGGCCATAGATTCAGTTAGTAGCTTAATGTACATGCAGCATCTCATCATCTATGCGGGGCACTCCTAAACATGAACATTTGCATTAGCTGAAACATCATATAATCAATGAGAAGGGGAGCAGGGTAGGCAAAGGCTATGAGCATTCTCTTATCACAGGGAGCACAATAGTGAACTGGGCAGGCTTTTCCTCCTGGGAGCGGTTGGCTGGTGGTCTTGTGGGGGATCTCATGAATACGAGGACATCGCCCAATCAACTGCTTTCCATCTCATATTCAAGGCTAGCCTTATGTCCTCTGTTGGCCGTGTATTTGGCAGATTTCCTTAGCAATTTCAGCTTGATTTACCAAAATTGTTGAGATTGCAGGAAAATTTGTATTAGACTTTTTTTTCTTTTGAAGCACAGATCTTGCTATTTTAAAATTTTTTTAGAAAGAAATGTAAAAATTGCAGTATTTTTTTTATTTCTGACTTTAAAGATGTTCAGTATCCCTAGTTTATCAGCATGAGCTTGTTGAACGTGAACCCCGTGGACGTAGTCACGGTATATTTTGGCGGCTGCATGAATTTACATACTTGTAGTGCGAGCAGCCTAACCACCGTGAATACATTTGAGGCTTTTTTTCTCCTTTTTTCAAAATTAAACGAACAAAGCGTCACGTGGGCCACAAAACCGAATGATTGATACAATCCTTCCTGCGATTGGCCATTATTTACTGACTCTTAAGTGGCAGGTTGTATTTATGCTAATTTATCTGCTTCGGGGAGCATTGCTGATAGCAGAACAAAGTGAATAAAAGTAGTTTGCTTTGCAAATGAATGCAAATGGTGCAGCCTTTCGGGAACAGGGGCAGTGCTCTTTGATTATGAGTGAAGCTGCCATTTGGACATGGTGAAAAGAGCACGCTTGAACCATTGATTAGGGGAGATGGTGAGAGAAGTCAGGAAGGGCTGCGTTAAGCTTTGCAGTACGGCGGGCGGGTGTCAGCGTAGTTAGAGCACAGTGGGAGAGTGACAGGGAGGATTAGTGTCAGGGAGCAGCTTTGCTGCAGCTCAGGGGGATGGATGGTCCCTGGGGTCGGTCACCTCTCACTGCTGTTCTCTGCTGATGGCTTGGTAATGAAAGTGTGTGATGCATGTCTGTTCATTATCGGAAAAGGTGATTAGATGAGCTATTTATCCGTAAAGGTTATCTTTTTTTTTTAATATATAGATTTGCATACCTTTTTTATTTCTTTTTTTTTTTTATCTCCCACATGTGAAGCAAAATCGTGCAGTTTGACACCATGTAGAAATCACTTTTACTTTTAATATCTTTGCTGCTGTTGCCAAGGAAATTGGAAAGGGAAAATAAATGGTTTTGGTGTATTCTTGCATATTGAAGTCTCATTCAGACTTATGCAGGCCATAGACGGGTCGAAAACCGGCTTTTTTTTTTTAATTAAACAAAACGAAAAATCGGTCGTTCAATCGGCTGCCGTTACCACCAACGGTAAAAAAAAAATCGGCCGATTTTCGTCCCATCAACGGCCAGCATTTAATTTCTTATGTCCCTTGCAGAGAGCTCCGCTATTATATTTGACATGAACAAGTATTGCAGTTGCAACAATGTATCCATTTCGGATACAGATGTTTTTATTCTGATACAAATAGATACATTGTTTCAACCGCAAGACTTTTCATATACAATATAATAGCAGACTGGAATTCTTCTTTTTCTTCTTCTTTACTTTTTTTCTTCTTCTTCTTGTTGCAGGTCACAGCTCATGCGCAGATTTTTTATCGGTAAAACGATCGGCCGATTTGCCCATCATTGCCGGGAAAATCGGCCAATCATCAAAATCAGCTGCAAATTTTCAAACTTGACCAATAAAAAAATGTGCCAAAACCCCGAAAAACGTCCGACCAATTAACCCACTAATGGTGCAAAAATCGGCCGATTTTTTTTTTTTTTTTCGGCCGATTTTTGACCCTTCTATGGCCTGCATTAGTTATACATTTACACTGTCTGCATTCAACATGGTATAAAAGGTAAAATTGTGCAGAGCACCGTCTAAATTTGTGATGAGCAAACTGATACAACCAATCAAACAGAAAGCAAACAAATTATTATTATTATACAGGATTTATATAGCGCTAACAGTTTTCTCAGCGCTTTACAATATAACGGGAGACAATACAGCAACAATACAGTTCAATACAAGAGGGAAAGGAGGGCCCTGCTCCTTGGAGCTTACAATCTAATATGAATTCCATATGTATTTTCTTTTGTTGCATCTAAATGTACTCCATGGAGATTTGTGCAATTTGTGAATTGTGATCGCCTGAATCCTGAATTGCGTGATTCTCCAAATATTAAACGGATTTGAATGGATATGTTAAAGCAGTATTAAACTCAAAACAAATTTTATGCAGCTTACAAACTCTTAGATGTGATGGCTGCATTAGTTTTCTTTTTTTTTTTTTTAGCTTTCATTCATCAATTTTCATCTGATGATCCCACTAGTACGTCAGTGGTTTTTCAAAAGAACAAGCTCTCCAGGAGAATGTATCTATTGCAGAGATGAGACAAGCCACCTACCACTGACACAGCGGTCAGCTTTTATTTATTTAAAACCTTTATTCCAAAAGGAAACACATGGTTTGCTGTAACTGTTTATAAAGTGTTGGCTTGAGTTTGGTTAGTGTGTCTAAATCTGCTAGCACGTTAAACACCCCCCTCCTCACAGACTGACAATCCTGCTGTACAAAGGTGCCCCCTGTGCTCCTTCATCCAGAGCTGCAATAAATTACCGTATTTGCCGGCGTATAAGACGACTGGGCGTATAAGACGACCCCCCTACTTTTCCTGCTAAAATGTAGTGTTTGGGCTATACTCGCCGTATAAGACTACCCCTCTTCCAATGTACACCAGTGGGAGGAATAGTGCCCCATCATTGATGTCAGTGGGAGGAATAGTGCCCCATCATTGGTATCAGTGGGGGAATAGGTGTCCCATCATTGGTATCAGTGGCAGGAATAGTGCCCCATCATTGGTATCAGTGGCAGGAATAGTGCCCCATCATTGGTGTCAGTGGGAGGAATGGTGTCCCATCATTGGTGTCAGTGAGGGGTGGAATAGTGCCCCATCATTGGTGTCAGTGGGGGGAGGAATAGTGCCCCATCGTTGGTGTCAGTGGGGGGGGGGCAGTAGTGCCCCATCGTTGGTGTCAGTGGGGGGGAGGAATAGTGCCCCATCGTTGGTGTCAGTGGGAGGAATAGTGCCCCATCGTTGGTATCAGTGGGAGGAATAGTGCCCCATCATTGGTATCAGTGACACCAATGATGGGGCACTATTCCTCCCACTGAGACTTGCTGACCCTGTTCTCGTATGGTGCTGCTGCAGCCAGCATATGTGGTTGCAGCAGCACCTCTACACAGAGCACTTACCTGCTGCTCCGGCACTCAATTTTCGCGGGCCCGCTCGGCTCCGCCCCCTCGCCGGTGATTGGCCGCCTGTGTGCCTTTCCTGAGCTACAGTTCTGGCGGCCAATCACCGGTGAGGAGGCGGAGCCGCGCAGCCGCACGAACATCCAGTGGCCGAACTGAAGGAGACGCCGCGCTTCCTGGACCGGATCGTCGTGGGACTGGATCCAGGTAAGAGACGTCAGCCCCTGCAAACCCCTGTACTTAATGCCGCAGCCCCCCTAACATGTGTACCGGCGTATAAGACGACCCCCGACTTTTGAGAAGATTTTCAAGGGTCAAAAAGTCGTCTTATACGCCGGCAAATACGGTACATTTTTTGGTGTTGGGTTTAAAGTGCTAGAAACTTTTTTTTTTAATTATTTTTGCCTATAGTCAAGCTTATAACAAATCTTACCTGCAGGTAAAATGAATATCTCCTGAACATGCACTGTTTAGGAGATATTCTAGTGAGCGGCAGCCTGTGATGTCACTACATACATGTGCCGTTCCTTCAGAGCTGTGTGCCGTGGCCGAGACTCCCACGCACATGTGCGGGAGTGACATCATCGCGGTTCGGCAAGTCAAGAGACCCGTGATCCTGGAAGGAAGACCGGGTACAAATGTAAACCTCAGCGGTGACAGCGTGCCACTGGAGGGCTTGATTTTCAGGTAAGTCTTTCATAATGCGCTAGTAGCTGATGCATACTAGCACATTATAACATTGCCTTGCAGGGAGATTTTTTTTTTTTTTTTTTCTGAAGTTTACCACCGCTTTAAGGCAAATCAGAAATGTATCCATCAAATTCATTACAGATGCATGAAAATGCACTAGCAAAAAAAAAAAAAAAGAAATACACCTTATTTTTCTATTTCCTTCAATGGGCTTGTACTGTACGTGTGTGCAGTCCTAAAACCTGACTCTGCGGCAGAAATCTGTGTGGAGCCGTGATATCTTCACACTGCACCTGATCATTGCCAAGAATTATTTATAATGATTGCGCCCATTTTGACATTAATCCTGCCACTGACAAACTTGTTGAAGATATATTTCATTACATGGTGTACTGTTGCATGCACTCTTTTATTGGGGGGGGGGGGGGGGTTGGTTTAGGCTTTGTAGCTTTTGCAGGGTTTTAAAGTGAATTTATAAAAACATTACAATAAATGTAGGAAGCACCATTGGAAATTAGTGCCGGCTTTTATTTTGGAAATACTAAGATAGGTCCCTGCAGGCATTTCCTCAGACAGAAGGAAGTGAGAGTGATACGTTGGGTGTGACTGCTGCTATAACCACACGATCCGTGCTAGAGTTGGGTTAATAAGGGAATGACTGCTGGGAAAAGTTGTGAGCCAATCGCATGAATGAGAATTAGGCTAGGTTCACACTCATGCAGTGCGGTAAATCGCATGTGATTCGCACTGGAACCGCACCGCATTCCTGTGCAAATCACATACGAATTGTGTGCGGTGCGATTGGAGTCGTACATTATGTATGGCTCCAATCGCACCACATCCACACCAAACAGGCGCAGGACACTTTTTGGGTCCGCACTAGAATTGGATCGCATGGGTATTCACACATATGCAATCCGATTCTGCACATCACACCACATTTTGTGGACTGATTTCGGGGTGTTGTTAACTTAACATACACACCTACAGAAATTCGGATGAATAGGGTGCAATTGTGATGCGGTGTGGAATTCGCACAGAAAACGTCAGTGTGAACCCAGGCTGAAAGTGGAAGTTTAGGCAAAGTTTAACCTCTTCACGCAGGCCGCACACAAATGTGTGGCCTCCCGGGGTCTGGGCCTAGATGCCAAGCAGCCACACATTTGCGTTCAATTATAAAAAAAAAAACGCGCTGAGAGCACGCACCCTGCGCACTCCCAGCACGCATGTCCGGTACTCACGGAAAGGTCCCGGTCTTCTCTTTCGATCGGGACCTTTCCTGATCATGTCGTCACAGCGGTCACATGATCCCTAAACCCCGCCGTCCCGCCTCCCGGCTTCTGAAACTCTTAAAGGGCCAGGGGCGCCGGCGTTAAGGGGTTAACTAAGGCGAAACCTACTCCCAGCCCCATTCTAAGCCTATTCTCTCTAATCCTGTAAACAAAAGATCTGTAAACGTACCTATTCTGAAGCCGCTCCGGCCCAGTCCCGTGATCAGTTGTCAGGGGCAGTTTCTGTGTAGAGGAGTTGCAGCCAACAACAGATGCCCCATAGTAAGTCTATGGGTGACCTCATCTCCCAGACACCTCCAGTCGGCGGCGGCAGCAATCTCTCCTGCAATATCTCTCTCCTAGAAGCTGCCGCTCGGAGAGACCATGTGACTGGAGCGGAGCGGCTGCCATGCAAAGTTAAAGTGTATGTAAACCCAAAACAAAAAATGGTATATATTGTAGCTTACCAGTCCTTGGTCTGGTGGCTGAATTTGAGTTCTTTTCTTTAAGCTACATTTGCTTTATTTTCACTTGGTAATCCTTGAAATAACACTTTTCCTGTCCCTGGGTGGCATTATCACTCCTCCACTGTATCTTTGGAGGGAGCCATGGTTGTCACCCTAGGCTGTGCCCTTAATATGGACTACAAACATGTCAGTATCTCTTTATCTTCATTATGTAGGGGCAGGGCAAACAGTTGTTTACAGAAGACAGCTTGAAAGGTTCTTTGGTGCAGCTCACAGGAAGTGACAAGAACATGGCTTTTCTGGCAAGACCAATCTGTATTGATAGAAATGTTATTCGCTTGAAAAAAACCCAGAAAACTAATGCAGCCAACACATCTTAAATGACATTTTTGTTCTTGGGTTTATTTATCCTTGAGGCTAGGTTCACGCTGCTACGATCCGATTTTGATCCCACTTTCAGTGCAATTATGTAGTGCAACTTGGATGCTACTTTGAAGTGGTTTGCATATTCTGTGAGGCCAAAATTGTGCTGGAATTGCACCATAGTACATGAACCTTTTCCAAAATTGAGCTGTGCTGAGTTGCTTGATGTGAACAGGCACCATTGAAAACAATTTCCATTGTTATGCAGTTCAGTGCGACATGCAATATGGAGGAGTCTCACAAACCTCAGAGAGTGGATGTCAATTAATTTATTATATATATATATTCACACTAATATAGTACATTATTAATGAATTACTGTGCACACAACCTTGGAACAAGTCCACACAAATAACATCAGCATGGAGGACATCTTCCCATACTCTACTTTTCTTAGATATGGAGGTATACCTTAGCAATTCTGATGCAGCAATACTGACAATTAAATTAAAGCTACTATGAACTAATTGAATTTAGCGCATGTATTGGTATTTTTAATGAAAACGTCTCTTGGCTTTAATGAATTTGACTCTTGGCTTCCGGCAGCATCCACACCACCATCAATGTTTTGAAAATGCCTTATTGAATCACGCCCAAAATATGTTTATAAAATGATGTAAAAAGTAAAAAAAAAAAAAAAGAAGAGCTAATTGTAGTAAAATTAATTAAAAATTTTACTAAAATTCCTTGACAGCTGCCCTTGGGGCTAAGACTGCTTTACCTCCTGCATGGACCACACAAACCTCAATAGGTATATACTCCAGGCAACTTACAAGACAAAATATTTTCTTTGATTACTCCCCCTCGACCCTGGTTATTAGAGACTACGATTTTCAATGTAGATAAAGAACAACTTCTTCAAGTCCTGGTACAGATCCAAAAGATTTGGAACCTAGCAACTCCTCTTAGCTACTCTTTCATTTTCTGCAGTCTTACTTCCACTTTATGCCTTCTATATATAACATTCAATTCCCCAAAATGGTATGTACACTTACAAACAACAAAGAACGAGGGTGCGTATACCTATGGTCCAAAATTCCAAAAGGAGACTAGTTACCTAAACTTGTTAGGATTTTTTTTATTATAGTAAGAATATTGAGTATGTTTGTGCACCCCCAGAAATGAACGATGAAGTTAACAACCACCTTCATATTTCTAAAAAAAAATTGCCAGTAATATATAACAAAGAACATTACAAAGAATAAACAGAATATGCAAAAAAGGGAATTAAAAATTTGAAAATGAACGTCAGATTGTGCAAAAGATAGCAGGACAAACCCCCAAAAAGTATTTAAATATATTAAATAGTAAAAAGGTCCGGTCCCCAGGATGTAGGACCCTTTTTACAAAATAATCTAGAGTGGTGACTGGGGACAAAAGAGAAGTCAAATTTATTAAATAACCTTTTTCAGCTTCTGTGTATAACAAAGGAGCATCGGGGGAGCTCTTTTCCATAATGGGTATGGTATGGACAACAAGCTCCAGATGATCCACATCTGCCTTACAAAAATATTTAGACAGTAATAAAGGTGAATAAAAGCAACTGGACCGATAGGCATACACCCTCGGGTCCCTTAAAGAAATTGATCTCTGGTACATTTCAAAGCCATTGTTTCCTAATTTTTTAGGGACATCTTTAAATGACTGGCATAGTAACCACTGGATTTACATAAATGCCAATGTGGTCAATATTTAAACAGGGGGGCAAATGCTTTACCAAGTAATTCAGACCGTTGTTTAACTTCTATATTTGGGGGGATACTGGAGAGTTTAATAAAAGACAACATAATTTTTCTTGCGGGAAAAAAATATTTTAAGCAACAGACGCAGGGTTAATAAAGACAGAAGTTTCAAACAAATCTATTTTTTTTTTATGAGGAGGTGACAAAACCTTGGGCCCGCAGGTGGGGGGGGCGTGTTTGACTTGGCCCGAGGGGTGGGGGTGGACGGGTATACTTG